AGATAAACACATACAAAAATAAACCATACCTAGGCACATCAATTAAACTGCTAAAAAACAAAAATAAAGAGAAAAATCTAAAAAGTAGTCAAAAAACAATAGACTCCTTACATTCAGGTGAACAGCAATAAGAATTATGGCTGACTTCCCAAGACTTACAATGAAAGCTAGAAGACAGTGGAATGACATATACAACATGCTGGAAGAAAAAACTGCCAACCCTAGAATTCTATGCCCAGTGAAAATCTTTCCAATCCAATGTCCCCAAACAGAACTTACTTTCTCTCCTTAGAAACATTTTCTCCCTCTGTAACTCACTACATTCAATATGGTCTCATCATCAAGGCACTTAGAGCTATCTTTGTCCTCTTCTCTTTTTAACTCTCACAATCTATCCAATTTCTATCACTTCCACCTCAGAAAATCTTTGGTATCCACCACTTCTCTTCAGCATCACTAGTACTGCATTGGTTCACGCCCTCATTGTTTCTTGCCCAAACTATCATAAGAGCCCATTGACTAGGATAGCCTCCTCAGCATTGTTCACCCTCCTCACAACCTCTGGAATTAGTTCTCTAAAACCAAAATTGATCCTGTCTCTCTGATGCTTAAAGATCTCTTCTGACTTTTCATCACTTACAGAATAAAATCCAAACTCATACCACGACATAAAAGATCCTTCACAATCTTGGCTCCAACAACTTCTCCAGCGTCTGTTCTTGCATATTCTTTTCCTCTTTTGTTATACTTATAAAAATGCAAAATAATTATAAGCTTATATCTTTTCCCCTTTCACCAGATTTGACTTTTCAAAAGAAGTGACTATGATTATTTGGAGAATGTTCTGCCAAAGATCAAAACTTGAAAGAGTGAAGGAGGTTGAGGAGTCATTCTCTTCTCTAGCAAGAGCTTCCAGAAAGTCATCTTGATTGCCCATGAGAGGGAAATCACGGAAGGTGAGGCTTGTAGTAAAGGTGTTTCAGGTCCCTGGAAGCCATCTGGGGAGCCACCATTAAATGGAGGAATTGTAGATAATCGTATTCTCCAATAAAGATAACGTAATAAGAGCATTTTTGGTTTGAGAGTTACAAGGGTGAAACGTTGCCCAACTCCTAGTAATATAAATTGGCAGCAAGACATAAGGAACTATTTCACAAGGTGCAGACCCCAGAGTCAGTTCACTAATGGTGTTCATGTGGCTTCTGGTGCCTTGCAAGATGACTTCAGATGGGGCAGAAATGAGTGAGTGTCAAGAGCTGGGTTCCTGGGAACTCAGGTGTGGGATACCCTTAGCTAAGCATGACACAGGGACAGTGGATTGTCCACCACTGCAGACTATCATTTGAGGATTCCCGGTGGCTTGAACAGATGCGAGGCAGAAGCAGACCTGCACAATCAGTCAAAATGACCAGTTGTCCACAGTGACATCATGTGGCTGCAAGAAGTAATGACAGTATCTCACCCATCACCTATTCCCCTGACTAACCTCAATTTTTAAATTGTGTAAGTTCCTAGACTTCATAAAAACTCAGGGAGCACCCTAAAAGGAAGATGCTGAACTTCCTCCTAACTTGGCATGTGAGAGTTACACTTAATTTTGTGGTGGTTGTTATTAAAATGGAAAAATAAAAGGTTGATTGCCATAATTGTCCTCTAGTACATACAGTGATTCAAAGTGGGGAAAAAATATTTGCAACTTATACCACTGAAAACAAGGCTTTTTAAAAAAAAAAAAAAAAACAAAAAAAAACCCTGCAATCCTTTTTATAAAGGAAAATGTAGAGAAAACTCTGGAACTCCGTAGACCAGACACCATCTGAACTGTTCTGGCTGATGTGAAAGTTGGGGGCTTGGAGCCCCTGTAACTCAGACTCCCCATGTGCTTACCCCAGACCTCGACAACCGCCTCCGAACGCCTCCACGGAACCCAGGAGCCCTGCAGAACATAGTTTAAAAACTGCTTTCTTGATGATGGAAAACTCATGAAGAATTTAAATCAGAGGATGACATCACCAGGTCATCTGTGTAGGACAGAGGATATTATTGGGAGGGGGAGGACAAGGCAAGATTGGGGACAAGACAGCTAGATTGTAAGCATTTCATCGAAGGACCATCAAGCCTTCTGACAGATGTAGTGGCATGAATAACGTTAGACATCAATACACAAAACATGATGAACTGAATCTATTTGTAAATATGAAACGTATTTGTAAATGATTATCAAAAACATACACTAGGAAGAGAAATAATCTCTCAGTCTTAGTATCAAAGGATGGATCTTTGACTACCTTGGAAACATGATTATCACAAAGTTCTTCAATTGAACACTTTTCTCTTGAAAAGATACAAGATTTTTTTCCTCAGATTCAGCTTGGAAAAATGATTTTTATCAAAATGAGCTTAAATTCTGCTGAAAACTAGACAATTTAAGCCTGTTGTGATGAAAAGCCATGTTTCCAAGCTAATTTTTAGGAAAAATCTAATAAAAGAAATTCTTAACAGAAAAGTACAGAAAGCCTGCTGGGATAAAAATGAAATGAAGTTTCCAAGCAACTTTTGAGTAAAAATATGGTAGAAAACAATGTTTTTACAAGAAAATGTGGAATTTAAGCATATAATAAATACGTTTTCAAGCTCGTTTTGAGAAAATACCTAGGAAAAAACATTTTAAAGAGAAATATTTGGAATTTAATCCTGTTGTGATTTCCAAACTAGTTTTGAGGGAAATTTTAGTATAAAACACATTTTTAACAAAAAAAAGAATTTTGGCAATAAGATTGCAATAAAGGATGCAAATAAACCTGAGAGAAGGACTCTGAAACGAAGATGAAATTGTCCCAAAAATGCCCAGAGTGGCAGGGTGTTTGTCCCACGCCTCCTCCTGCACCTCCCCCTCAGCCTCCACTAGTGACTTACATGGAATGTCCCTACCCTGAGGTGGGGCATAACCCTGCATGAGGCAGTTCCTGTGGTCCAGGGCCATTTGCTAGAAGGGTCTGAGCTTGAGCTGTGGGCAGTCACTGGGGAAATGAGTACCAGGTCCAATTTGGGGGATCTGGGTAAGTGCTCGGCAACACTGCTAGCAAAGAGCATCAGCAACGAATTTAGGGAATTTAGGAAGAGATGTGAAACCACATAATAGAGAACTTCAGTTACATCAGAGCTTAACAATATCTCACCAACTCAAGAACAGATGTCTTAATGGAGATCCAAGTTCACAAAAAGGCATCAAGGAAAGAATATTTCAAAATATTTAAACAATGAAAAGGGAGGAAAGCTAAATGAGCTTTCATTTTCATCATTCATTTCATAAAATGATTTTATTCATTGTTCACCACATAGAAACTCTGACAAATTCCAAGTCCATATGCTGTTGAAATGTAAGTGATGACTTAGGATAACAAGAGCAAGTTAAATCACAACTACGGAAGAGACAATCTAGGATTGCCCCGATGTAGCTATGCTGTAATTTGCACAGAATATGAAAGGCAGTTTTTCCTCTTTTCCCAGATTTGAGGCCTGCCACCCCAAGCTGAGTCCAAGAAAGCATCACATAACACACTATTGGGGCCAGACACTCCCACAGAACACTCTCAGAAAAATTCGCTGCCCATCTCTCTCTTAGCCTACAAATGCAAACGTGAGAATGAAGGAACCATTGGAAAGACAAGCCAATGGAATGCACTATTCATGATGCGTTTTTTTCCCTCCTTTCCCCGTGCTCCTCATCTCAAGTCAAGCAAGGAGCTAACCAAGCAAATCATTCTACCTGACTACCAGAGAGATATTAGCATTTCATCCCCTTGTTGGACAATGGCCCTGCTGACCTCTCCTCTGTATGTTGTTTGTGAAAAATGCAAAAGCATGGGGGTAGACTTGCCAGATAAAATACAGGATGCATGAGACTTACTTATGCTACAAAATAATGCATTGTTTACCTGAAATTCAAATTTAACTGCCATCCTGTGTTTTTTACTTACCAAATCTAGCAATCCTAATAGGAGGGAACAGCAGGGCAAAGAACGCTGGTGGCAAAGGGACAGTGGAAAAGGACACAGCTGAAGGTAGCTGGACTTGAGCCACTTTGCAGGTACCCATTCAAGATCCCACTGACAGGTGATTCCAACAGTAAGAACCTGTGGAGAGGACTATCTGGGATGGAAACTGTGTAGGCAGAAACAGAAAAGACCAAGACACTGGGGGAAGCTCCAAAGGGTTCTACAGAGAACTCAACCACACATACTTACCAGAGGAGAGCTATTATGTGAACCTTGTCCAACAGGCATTTCAACAAAGCCAGAAAAGCAGCAAGAGCAGAGAGGACAAAGGCACCAGTCAAGTAAGAGATCCTTGTGTCTTTCCATCTCTCCACCCAGCCCCAACCCAGGGGAGGCAGGAACTGAAATGGCACGGGTCAGGGAAGGGATGAAAGAGCAGGTCCTGCAAGTCTCTGAGCCATAGCCAGAAAGGAGAGGGGACGAGGAGAGGAAATGAACATTAAATTGGATGTCACATTGAAACTTTAAACTGGATCAAACTATATTAGTCATCTTTTGCTGAAAAACAGATTTAGTGGCTTAAAACAACAGACATTTATCTCACAGTTTCTATGAGGCAAGAATCTGGGTACAACTTAGGTGGGTCCTCCTCTTCAGGCTACAATCAAGATGGCAGCTGGGGCTGAATCATCTCGTGGTTCCACTAGGAAAGGATTCAATTCCAAGCTCATTCATGTGATTGTTGGCAGGATTCAGTTCCCTCTCCCTGGCTGTTGACCAGAGGCCACCTCTGTTCCTTGCCACGTGGGTCTCTCTAACATGGGAGCCATTTTAGGAGCTGCCTACCACAGACTGAAATCTCTTAATAACCAAGAGTGATCAGAAAGCTATATTGCTGCCCCAAATCTCATTTACAGCTGGGGAAAGGCGATTGAACAGAGCATAACAAAAACAGATATTGAAGAAAAATCAAACTTTTATATTTGTACCATCAATTGCAAATAGTTCCATAAACTGGATACAAGCATTTATCTTCTTAAAGTTGTCAATGTTTGTGTAGCAAGAAAGGGTACAGTGTGGTACAGTGGAGAGAAGTCATTCTTTGGAGATCATCAGAACTGGGTTTGAAGCCCAGCCTCATCGCTACTGGTGACATTGGGTTAATTAACTTCTTTGAAACTCAGTCTTCTCAGTAATCAGGGTTGTGATGAGCATAGCAGATGATGTATATGTTCACATGAAGTGGCTGGCCTACACATAGTAGCTATTACTATCATTACCATTACCATTACGTGATCCTCCACAGCTCATCAATCCAAGGTGAGTGACCAGCAGAACCCAAATTGTTCTCATCTCCATTTTAAAGCCTGAAGATGTCAGAAGTTATAGCAGTCATTTATGCATAAGCAAGCACATATCTCTAGATTGCATCTGAATTTTGTCCTAGACATGTAATTTTGGTAAGACTAACACTGCTCAGAGCCTTGTACTTTCACAAAGAGAGTGAAAGACCATTTCTCTTGACACCGAGGCAGAGCTCTGTATGAAGTGAAACATCACTGCGTGTATCCTCTCATAAAGTGTCACAGAGTCAGGGTCCCAGGGGAGAATGCAGCACAGCCAAAAACAAATAAAGCTTTTCCAGTCGCCAGCAAGAGCACACCGCTGAAGCGACATCACAGCACTCTCTGTCTCATAGTTCGGACAAAAGCCGAAGAAAAAATTATGAAAAGGGTTTATAAGAAAGATTTGTCTCTTCTCCCAAACAGGGAGTAATACTTGTTTTGGGCTAATACCACCACCTTCCTCCTCCTCTTCCATCGCCAAGATCTTCATCTTCATCATTATCATCATCATCATCATCATCATTATCATCACAACCACTACCACCACTACCATTGAGGTTGTGCCCTGTATATTAATCTATTCTTGTTGTACAAATTACTAATTAAAACTTATCTATTGTACAAATTACCCTAAAATCTAGCAGCTTAACAGTTTAAAACAAGTATTTATTATCTCTCCCAGTTTCGGAGGGTCAGGAATTCCGAAGGAGTTCACTTAGATCCTTCTGGCTCAGGGACTATCATGAGGCTGGAGTCAGCCTGTTGGTGGGGAGACATGCAGGCTGCAGTAATCAGAAAGCTTCCAAGCTCAAGCACGTGGCTCTTGTTGGGAGGCTTAAGTTCCTCACCAGGTGGGCCTCTCCATAGAGCAACATGGCCACTGACTTCCCCCAAGGGAACAATTTGAGAGGCGTAAGCAAGGCAGAAGCCACAGTGCCTTTGTATGACCTGTTCTCCAAAGTTGCACACCATCACTTGCATTTCAATCTATTCCTTAGAGGCAAGTCACTAAATCTAGCCCATACTCAGGGAAGGGGAATTAGTCTCCAACTCTTGAACGGAGGAGTAGCAAAGAATTTGTAGATGTACTTTTGAAATCAGCACACCATGTTACAAGGACCGTGGTAAACATGACACATGTATATTCTTTCCTGATGTGAAAGGAAAAATTGTCTATTCATGCATTAATTTATTCAACAAACCTTTATTACAGAATTTACCTCCCCAAGGATGTGTTCCAAGTGACTGCTTTTGTCCAGTCCTTTGTGTATTTTATCCCTTACTGTTTCTTGTTTCTAGCTTTAACCTTTTCCTTATTGTACCTGCTCCAGTCTCTTCCTGGAGCCTTGCAGTAACATCTGCTCTCTTCTGGTCATCAAAACATTCCCACATTTATGTTTCTTTCAATGCAACTTAATTCATTACATTAATTCATTATCTTAAGTCCACACTTAGATATAACATTTATAATTTAACCATTGTCTGCAGTAGAGATACAACACAATATAAGTTGGGGAAATGGCCAACACAAGATTGTCTCATGGGTGAGAGAAGACAATCACCTTCAGGATGTGATCTGAGAAGGTGGGAGAAGTTGTTCTCATTAGAACAGCTCCCTCCATCTACTCTCAGGAATTCCTGCTTAGAGGAAAGTCATCAAAGTTTCTCTTTAAAATGTAAATGCTCCCAGAGGTATAAATGTGACACTATTAGTAGCACATTCCTTAACAAAAATTTTTCTACCAGGTTAGCTTTACAACCACCCACCTCAATTCAGAAGAAATTAGATACAGTATACGGAGGATTTATTGAAACAGGGAAACTCAGGGAAGACATGGATTAATTCCCAACAGGATTCTGCAGAGGAGGCTCAGGAACTGAAGGAGAGCACAGGATCCCAGAGGCAGGATGAGGGGAATCCATCAAGGACAACTCAATTTAGGTTCTCTCAAAAGCAAAGCCTGAGGGAAGGACAAGATGGCAGATAACTTAGTCAAGAGCCTCTCCCAGGTGCGGAAATAAGGCAGCAGGAGAGTGATGAGGCAGTAAATATAAGCAGAGGGCTCAGTTCTACTGAGGTTGTCTCACTTCCCAGAGCTGTTTCTGTCTAAAGGAAGGGATGTTGAACAATTATCCATAGGCTCCCATGCCCTATTGGATGACAACCCCAGGGCAATAACTCCTCTGTTCTTCTGACTGTACTTGTAGGCTTCTGTACCCATAGGAGAAGGCCCTGGAGCAGAAAGTGGAAAGACTTAAGACACCACCTTAAGTGGGTGCTATGTACTTTCAGGGCACATGACATCACATGGAACTGACCCCGGCAGCCATGGCTGAAATCAGCAGCCGGCAAGGAATGTGATGTGGGACATCAGAGCCCTCTACTAATGGGCAGGTGCAGAAAGCACACTTTCTGCATCAGTAAAGTGCAGAAAGGGGAGGCTGAAAACAAGCATCAGCTACATCACATTTTCACTTTCACTTAGTGCTAAAGATAGGTCTATTTTGAACCCCCACACAAGTGGGAGTTAATTATTACACAACCAAGAAGTTATTTCTTCTAAGATAATTCCCCATAGCATGATCTCTATGGTACATTAAAATGAAATACCAAAAGCACAAGCAACAAAAGAAAAAATAGATAAATTGCATTGTCAAAATTTTAAACTTTTGTGCTTCAAAGAACACCATCAAGAAAATGGAAAGACAACCAGTGAATGGGAGAAGCTATTTGCAAGTCATATATCTAATGAGACATGTCTAGATTATATAAAGAACTCTTACAACTCAATTATAAAAAAAGACAAGCAACCCAGTTAATAGTTGGGCAAAGGATTGGAAAGACATTCCTCCAAAGAAGATATACAAATGACCAATGAGCATATGAAACAATGTTCACCATATATTAGCCATCAGGGAAATACAAATCAAAACCCAATGAGATACCATTTCACACCCACAAGGATGGCTATAATCAAAAAGGCAGATAATAACAAGTGTTGGTGAGCACGTGGAGAAATTAGAACTTGCATATGCGGCCACTGGTATTTTAAGTGGTGCCATCACTTTGGAAAACCATCTGGCATCACCTCAAAAAGTTAAACTTAGAGTTACCATATGACCCAAAAGTTCCACTCCTAGATATATACCCAAGAGAAATGAAAAATATGTCCACATAAAAAGTTATACACAAATGTTTATAACAGTATTATTCATAATAGCCAAAAAATGAAAACAAATTAAATGTCCATCAACTGATGAATCAATCAAGAGAATGTGATACATGCATAAAATGGAATATTATTTGCCAATAAAAAGAAATGAAGTATTGATACATGCCACAATGTGGATAACCCTGAAAACATTTTACTAAGTGAAGGAAGCAGTCACAACCAACCATATATTATATGACTACGTTTATGTGAAATGTCCAGAATAGGCAAATCTAAAGAGATAGAAAGTAGATTAGTGGTCGCCTAGGGTTTGGTGAGTTTGGAGGGAAATGAAGAGTGACAGCTCTTAAGTACAGGGTTTCTTTTGGGGATGATAAAAATGGTCTAAAATTGGATAGTGTTGATGGTTGCACATCTGTGAATATACTAAAAACTATTGACTTGTACACTTTAAATTAGTGAATTGTATGGTAGGTGAATTATATCTCACTGAACCTGTCATAAAAAAATTTTTTAGTGAAAAATAATTGTGATACTGTAATAAGATCAAAAATGCAATAAATACTGGTATGTACTAGAATACGTTTCTAAGAAATCCTGTGCACCTGCTGTATTCAAACCACTATCAGTAAAATTATAGGGAAATTCACAATGCATAACAATAAAATAAGCCAAACTATAACATTACATGAGTTTTTCCAAGTGTGCTACGCGTGTCTGATAAACAAAGAAAAGGTTAATAATATTTCTCTTCAATCTAGGCATTTATTAAATTTTTTAAGTGAAGGAGAGCAATCAAGTTGCCCGTAAAATTAAAATCTTAATTGTTCAGCTCTAGGCTGCTTTTTGTAAAGAAAGTTCATAAACACAGCCTGTGATCAGAATCTGTGGAGATCCTGGGAGAATATCAAACACAAATGAGTTGCCAGAGGATGTTTCCAGATGAAATTAACTACCCTTTTAAGATTAACAAATGATTTATTTATAATTGCAGACTCTTTGTTGGGGAAAGGCTAAAGAATATTTCAGTGCTAAAAAGTTCCAAAATTTTAGCTTTTGTCTACTACCTCAGAAAAAAATCATTAGTTTAGTGACTGCGCCTTAGGAGACTCCGAGATGGATTCATTCTCCTTCTAATGAGGTAAAAGCATCCCAGGTGTCTCTATTCAATGAGCATCTGGACAGTAGCCAACCTCTGAAGAAACTGGAAATTCTGCTCGGTGACAACACACTATCAACTCACCAGGGCGGTTTAAGATAGCACAGTGTGACTCAAATCCAGGCAAGGAAATGCGTCAGGTGAAAGCTTTTCCTCCTCAAGAAACACCTGCCAGCAATCGAGATAGAAAAAATGTGTGTCAACTTGTGAGCCTGTTTAAAGAACTACCCCGACTGGTTCCCTAACCACATGCAAATTCATTCCCTTTCCTATCTTTATGGGGGGTGATTTCCCGAAAGGCTTCAAACCAGAATGTGGCTTGATGGGAGAAGGCAGCAGTTTTTAATTTTATTATATATAGATGACATATATATAATTTTATATACATAAAATAAAATTTAAAACTATATGTAATATTGATAACACAGTCCAGTTAAATCTTGAGGGAGGAGGAATCTATAACACAAAAAGCTCGCTCTGCCTTTCCACCATCTGAGTTTGCACTTACATTACCACTGAAACTTTCTCCAGTGCCCTGCCGTTAGCACTTCATTTCACACCTCCTCCCAGGTAAACAGGAAGCAAAAGACGCAGCATCCTCTTTGCATCATCAAGTGCTGGTTGGTTACCTGAGATGCAAAATAACTGGAAGGGAAAGAAAAAAATCAAACCAACCACCAGATTGTCTCTTTATGATTTCATATTTACAATCTTACCTAACCAGTGATTTAGCTAAAAAGGGGAAATTTGAGGATCCCAATAGGGATTTATTAGAGACCTTTCTTTCTAAGGGGGAATTGCACTCAGATCTCCTTCGACTGTTATGAAGATTCATATTACTTGGTCATTTAACATCTTTAATTAGCTCCCCTCTGAGACTCAACAACAAAACTAAGCTCACGCTCATAAAATACACAGACAAGCTTTGTCTGCAGTCTAAACTAAGCAATAATTGGCTGCTGCCTCCCCTAGGGGGCTCAGTGGACTCTCGCAGCCCCCAGTGTCCTTCATCAGCATGTGTGAGGAGTGCCCCAGTTTAAGGGTCTTTGAGAGCGGGGCCTCTGTGTCTGTGTGCCCCGCATCTTCCCTGCACTGAAGTTGAGTAAATGCCTCCCAGGACCACTCCCTGCGGCAGGTACTTCTGCAGGGCTTCTGTTGCTGTCTCTGGTTAAGCGATCATGGCAGCAAAGGGTATTCAGTTCAAAATTATCGGGGATTCTTCTTCCTATAACTTTGAAACTGCTTGGCCTAAACATTTCTTACGGTGAGCTCAGAGCAGAACCCACTATTCCCCAATTCTCCAGAGACAGGCTGGAGAAAGGAAAAGAAATAATTCTTAAGCCTCCAAATGCCAGAGCTCTGTACGTTCTCGTCTTACTTAACCATTATACCAAACCTGTGAGATGTACGTTATCATCCCCTGAAAGACGTGCTTAGATGAGGAAACTGAGTCTTCAAGGTGAAGCAGTTTACCTAAGGCTGGACAGCCAGTCTTTAAAGCTGGTTCTTAGCTCCTGGCCACAGACTTCTCTGAGAATCTGGTGACAGCTAAAGACTGCTCCATGCACACATTTTACGAACAAATTTAGGGGACCAGGCACCCTTGAAGCCCAGACCCTGCAGAAATCCAAACCCTGAAGCGTTCCTCTTTCCACACAACTACAGTGCCTCCCACTGGACAAGGCTGGGGAGGAAGGAAAGGAAATTACCCAAAATTTAAAACATTTATTTTCTCTCAATACAAAATCTTTTCCTCTATCTTACATGTTATTTCATGAAATCCCTATGAGTCCTTTTCTGCTGAGCAGGAGTATTTTGATCAGAAACTACTTGTTGTAGGGGCAAAACTTAAAATGATTTTAAAAGCTATTCATCAGCCTCCTGTGCTATTTTCCAGTTTCTTGCCAGCAATCCCAAATCTGAGTATTTATTCAAAAGAATTGAAAACAGGATCTGCACTCCCAGGTCCACGGCAGCATCCGTCACGATAGCCAAGAGGTGGAAACAACATAAATGTCCATCGACAGATGAAGGGACAAAGCAAATGTGGTCTATACATATATGGAATATTATTCAGCCTTAAAACAGAAGGAAATCCAGAGGGCCAGCCCCATGGCCAAGAGGTTAAATTTCTGCACGTTCCGCTTCGGTGGCCCAGGTTTGCAGGTTCGGATCCCAGGTGCGGACCTACTCCGCTCGTCAGCCAGGCTGTGGAGGCATCCCAGGTACAAAAAATAGAGGGAGATTGGCACAAATGTTAGCTCAGGGCTCATCTTACTCAAGAGAAAAAAGAGGAGGATTGGCAATGAATGTTAACAGGGCAAAGTTTTCTCACAAAAAAAAAAAAAGAAGGAACTCCTGTCATATGCTGCAACAGCAATGAACCTTGAAGAGGTTGTGCTAAACAATACAGTCTTATGAAGTGGGAGTTATAGATGAACACACACCGTGTGCCTCTGAGCAGCTTCCCGAGGAAAAGTCACAGCTGGTAACAGTCAGTGACCAGATAACTCGTTTTCTTGAGTCTCATTAGTCCTAAACATGAAACACTGAAAGAACCCCTTGTTTTCCATTAGTCCCTCCACATCTAAAATAATCATCCTCTGTGCTGAAAAATCACTTAGCATCTTGTTTCAAGTTCAGAAATTAATTTTCACAACAGGACAAATTACTCTGCTAAAAGACTACTGGAGTAGAAAGGCCTGGATTCTGAAAGTCCGTTATGGGCTAAACCATCCCTCTCTTTTGGGAAGAGATACAAATGGGTTTCTTCTTTACAAACTAATGCAAATGCAGTTTATGAAATTCGCTAAGCTACCTGCTTACTTACTTCCACTCCTCTGGACGCAGGGGAGGTCATGGTTGAGCCCTCGCTGACCAGGTCCTGCAGAAATCTCTCCTTCCCACAAGCCACCAGAGTCTCGGCCTGCTTGCCACTGCTTTCCACTGACCAAGATGGCCTTAATGTCCCCCTCAGCCTGACTAAAGTTTCCACAGTTTCTTCCTATGGCACCCTGACCCCCCTTTTCTTAACACTTACTTTAGAAAACTTGCGATTATAAATTATTTCTCTGCCCCTTGGAGATGTAAATCTTCTCCCAACCTGTTATCAGTTTTACAACGCAGGAATGTCTTTCTCTCTCGAGGATCAGGGAATCAGCCCTTTCAAATGTCATCATCAAGGAAGACACCACCACTCTTGTCTCCCAGCCCCCGTGAGAGGATAGGAGTCTAACTTCAATAAGTGCCAATTAGCGAACACTGCCGACCTCATCACATAGACCACGCTCCTCTCTGATGTCCTCCGGGACTTTTCCACTAGCTCCCTCTAACACTTACAAGCCCTGCCACCCTCTGTTTGAGTGGAGTTGGGTTCAGTCTCTCTCCCCTACTGCAATAGGTTTGAATACAGTCTTCCTTGCCTCTTTAACTCTGTCGGGTGCAATTTTTCCTTGACACCACTCCTCTCCAGAACCCCACCACCCACTATTTTTTTAAGGCTCGTTTCCTTGAATAGTAGGATCAGGTAAAATGATGAGATCAGAGTAAGTTTATTAAAAGATGAAGAGATGCACATGATATATTTTTAAATTTAAAAGCCTTTACAAAATTGTGGATAGAGCCTCATGCTTCATGCACAGACACACACTCTATGTAAGTGCACACTTAAATATATAGTCTGTTACTTATACATTAAAGTTTAAAAATAGGCTTAGAAATGATCAAAGTCATCTCCACACAGCAAGATAATAGGATTTTTCTTTTCTTCTGTAACGGAGATGTATTTTCTAAATTTTCTATGACGAATTGCATTTTGGGGTGAATTTTTTAAGCAGCGTGGAGAGGGAAGAGGATTTCAAATAACAAAGGGACTCTCACTTGCTATCCCTAAAAATAATCACTGCTTTTTTTTTTTTTCTTTTTACCAGCTTTCTTCCTAAGTGCTGTGGGTGGGAAACAGACAATATTAACAAAAAATTATACAAATTTATTTGCTGCTTTGAATCCTGGTTTTTCATTCCTGGATGTTTCCCAGAAACCTAAAGGCTTCCTGTTCTTCTCTTGATCCCTGTAGGATGAGTCCATCAGGGACCTATTCCTTGAGTCCTGTGTCCTCCTCTGGACCAAGCAAGTGTCCACTCTACAAGAAGTATCTGAATTCAATGCTGTAGATTAAAAGAAAAACGTCAAGCTCCTTCAAGAGGCCCCCACACCTCCAGTGAGTGACATACGTCTTAGATGTCAGAGAAACACTAAAGGGGGTGTCCCCCATCTCAGCTTCCTCAAAGTTCTGTCCCACGCACACGATAGAATTGGGCACCCCGGGACATTCTCATATGAGCTTGCTTTTATAGTCCCAAAGAAAGAGAACTTGGTGCCTGTTAAGGTTAAACTTTAAACAAGCCATTGTCCATCTACAGGGAAAAAGAGGGGAGGATGAAAGGAAGGAGAATGAACACTACTTTTAAACATTTACATCAAGACGGCAGAAGGTTATTTTATCTGAAGACGAGAGTCTCCTTGTTTTGGAGGCAGACTCCTGGGTGCCACTATACCCAATATTTCAAGTGGAGTCCCCTGCAGCTTAAGTGCGACACAGACTAATTAGAGCTCTGAAAGAAACAATCGAACGGTACCAGGATTAAACAATACTTATAAGGAGAAACTTGGGAGGAATTAATCTCTCTAATAGGAAAAGGGAATAAGTCCTTGGCAAGGTAACACTTTTGGTGAGGAAAGAAAATTATTCAAAAAGTCTAGGGAAACCGTAGGATCCTAATTGGTAAGGTAGAAAAGTCTGGTTCTAGAGAAAGTTGGGTTAAGGCTGCTACTTACAAAAGTTCTTCACAATAAGCAGAGACTGTGCAGCCTGAGTCTTTGTCCTAGAAGATAGCAGGTGCCACAGCAGCAAGGTCTCCTCCTGGGACAGAGTCTGTGAACAATGACGCATCCACAGACCCGAAGCCCAAGCCCTTGGTGCCAGATGTGTTTTAGAACTCAAAACTTTTTGGATTTTAGAAAAGAAATCTGGTGTATAATCAATAACGTTATATAACATCCCCAGTGGGATCTGGGGCAACATCCCATTAATCTTTCTTAAGCAAAACATATGAGGATTCACCTTAAGTGGGATAAATACAGGAGATATATATATATATAAATAGACTCACATCAGTTCAAGTTTTGCTACCAGATGAGTTATGGGAAAAAGAATTCAATTTCGTGTGGTTTTGGGGTTTCAGAAATGTGAATAAGGGATTGTAGGCCTGTATTTTTTGTGTATGTCTGTCTTGCCCACCAGAGACTGAGAACCATGCCTCATTTATCTTCCCCCGTCCCTGGTCCATGACTGGTGCTCAGCAAGTGTGTTGAATTTAATTGATCAATTCCAGGCTGTAAGCCTCTCACATTTCCTAGCAGCACAGCCTCAAAGCTCTGGATGCCCAGGGAGGCCCAAACTTCAAGAGCAGGAGTACTTTGCTTAGTGTACTCGGAGCTTCTTTGAATAGAAGGCATTAGAAACAACGTAAATTTTCTGCCTAACTTTCACTTCCCCTGTTTCAAGTGCTGCCATCCTATAAGCTGCCAAGAGATTATGAAGGCCGAGAACTAGATTTTTACAATATTATCTTGTTTGGTAGCAATGT